TCCCCATATCAGAGGCACCATTGATCATCCCAAACTCATCCTTGTTTTGTCATATCCTGCTCAACTATTCCAATTGTTGCTAAAATTACTTCTTGGAGGTGCAAACGCCATCCAGCCCCCTCTTCCCATCATCCTTCTGACAAAATGAGGTATAATTTCTCCAAACTACAGTTTGAGGAGTCAAAGAGTTTATTGGACTTCTATACAGATCAGTGGGTGAGGGGGTTACTTACAGAAGTGTGGGCACAGGCAGGCTCCCTTAATATTGCTGCAGGGACCCTGTGACCTCCCGGCAGCTGCTCAAGATGGCAAAGGCCACCCTCTCTCTCCGGCTTCCCCTGGCCCTATCCTTAGTCCCTCCCTCATGTACCACTCGGACCAGCTGGTTGGATGGAAGGCATGACTGACTCTTTCTGCCTCTCGCCTCCCACAGAAACTTTGTTTGTGGTGATAGAAGGAAGAGGGTGAATCCAGTTTGAGAAGAAGGCATCCTTCCACTGCTTGCCAGTCTAGCTTGTCAGGGAGAGGACAAAAACGTATAACATATGTATGTTTTAAGCCAGACATGGTGGCACACGCCTTTAATCCCCAGCACTCGGAAAGCAGAGGCAGGTGGATCTCTGTGAGATCCAGGCCAGCCTGGTCTACAGAGGGAGCTCACATTCCATCAACATTGCTATAAATAACAGATGCCAGTATTTTTTTTTTCTTTTAGTAACCAAACCAAATGCATGGTCCTGGCATAAAAACTGACACATAATCCAATAGAGTTTAAGGTTTAACTTCTCAATACTTGTCACAGGTCTAAAATTAGAATTGACTTTTTATAATATGGGACATTGCTGCTGGTGGTGCAGCCTCATCAGTGTTGGTGATAATGGTAAAGACATTTGGAAGTCGCCAATCCAGGACGGATGTGATAGACGCACAGTGCTGTCGGGAACCTGGGCCCCTCCTACTTTCTAGTTAGGCACGCTTGGGTTCAGCTTTCATCCTCGTGTCTGCCAGCTGTGTCATTTGACTTCCAGCCCTTTAGGCAGGAAAAGCAGAAGAGAGAAAGGCAGAAGGCAAGCCGAATCTGCTTCCTCTCTAGCACAAGCCAGCATCTCTGCTTACCCCTCCCTGGAAAGCCTGTGTCCCTTTAAGTCTTTACTTTGAGAGCCACCCTTCCTGAAAATCTTCACCCCTGCTATAATCATTTAAGTGGTGACATCTAATGAGTGAGCGTGGTGACAGCTAGAGGGATGGAGTGATGTTCACAACCAGGACTTCTGAGGGGCACTCTGCAAGGAAGATGTGACCTGTGTCACTTTAAGAAAAGATGAGGGGCTGGAGAGATGGCTCAGCAGTTCCCTCCGCGGCATTGCACGACACCATGCACTTACATACATGCAGGCAGTATACTCATACATATAAAATAAAAATAATAAATAATATATATATATATATATAAAAGAAAAGATGGAGAGGAGCTGGAGAGATGGCTCAGTAGTTAAGAGTAGAGGACCTGGGTTCAGTTCCCAGCACCCACATGGTGGCTAACAACTAGTTCCAAGGGAACTGACACCCTCTTCTGGCCTCTGCAGGCATTATATGGCACATGTGCACGTTCATACATTTAGGAAAATATTCATTCATATAAAATAAAAATAAATAAATGAATAACCAATTTTTTAAAAAAAGAAGACATGAGGAAAGCCAGAGAAGGAGAGAAATAACTCCTGAAAATTGTCCTCTGACCGCCATATGCGCACACACAATAATAATAATAATAATAATAATAGTAAATAAATAAATAACAAGACATGAAGAAAGGCCTTTTCCCGCATTGTCAGCAGCTGACCTCTGTCATCTTCCTACCCCAGTTACCAAAATAATAGCCACTGCAAAATCCTATTATTGGTGGAATAAAATTGAGTTTTATTTTATAGGTTCATTCTTAGACCCCCTTCCCCTTTCCCAGGGTTTCCGGTTTTTGAACAGTGGAGGATGACATTATGAGGAGTCAAGGTAACCATGTTTGGTAGAAGTACAAATGTAATTCAGATATTCAGAAATTATGAATAGAATTTTGTTGTCATTTCTTATTTGGCAAATACTTTACAAATATTGAGCCAGTATCTGGGGGACAGGGTAGTTAGGGAGAGATGGTGCAATGCCACAATTTTGTGCATAACCCAAGCCAAACACACTTGAACCCTCAACTATTCCCAGCAGATGCTCTTGTGGCCTGGATTGCCCAGCCAATGATCCTAACTTTGCACTTCTCTTTTATTGCATACATACAACGCAACCCAAGTTATCTCAACCATCCTTTTGGGAGGACATCGGACTGTCATTATCTGCTGTGCCTTGCATGGAGGGGCACGGAGCCATAGAAAGTTTAGGGAGTTTGTTTGGTCTGAAACTAAGCCAGGATCTACTCTATGGTGATAAATTTCGATTAGGAAAACATTCAAGAGTCTGAGCAAAAGAGCCAATCAAATTCAGTCCTTGTTTTTCAGAAATCTAAACAAAATATTAACTAGCCACAAACATACTTCCTACTTCTTCTAAAATACAAGCTTTGGTGGTAAAAAGAAAAATGTTCGTGTGTGTGTGTGTGTGTGTGTGTGTGTGTGTGTGTAAATTTACATACCCAAATATACAAATGCCACAATGCTGGGGATTGAACCTAGGACCTTGAGCATGCTAGGCAAATGCTCTACCACTGAGCTACATCTTTACCACATAGAGCTTTGTTTTTTATCCAATTAAGAAAATGTTCAGTTGATACAGTAAAGTAAGTTAAAGCTTGAATTGCAGAAATTTCTAAACCATTTTGGAAGCAAATACCAAGCCCCTTATGTGATTTATATTCCTGATTCCTCATCAAGAACTTCTCCAGGAGAATCCAACTGTACTCTTTAACACCATCAGGGAAGTTTAGAGTTGGCTGTCTAGGGATAAAGTCACAGGAACAACTACATTTGATTATCTTCCCTTTGGGGTAGGACAGGGTGGGAGGTCTTATGTTAAAGAAAAACTTCACATTCTCATTCTCCCTTCCCCCTTCCACCCCTTACTCAACCAATAAAGAATACATTTGGCCTTTATTGCATTGAGCAATGTCTCAGAATGCTAGGGAAACTACTTCTACAAGCATGCCAGGAAACAAAAATATGGCAGAGTTGGCTGAAGAGGTTAACAAAGACACTGCCATGGCCACATCTACTGAGTAAAAAGGAAGGGCAAGCAAAAACTTGAAAACAGCCAGCTGTCCCCCTCTCGCTGCATACTTTAGATGAGGCAGATATGCTCCGAAAGCTTCTGTTGGCCTCTTTAAACATTGACAAAGGTGGTCTGTGTGTGTTTCGATCTCAGGCTGTTCTTGACCTTAGGTACAAGGAGTCAAGATTGTTTAGATTCTGGATGTAACCGTTTGGCTAGTTCAACAGCACTGTGGTGGGGGCAGGGAGTACGTGTAGAGACAGTGTGCTGGAATACAACTCCCAAACCTCAAAACATGCCCAAGAATAACAAGAACATGAACCACTGACCCAAAGCCTGGTGAAATTCGATCTCCAAGTCTCAGTTCAGCAGTAGACATGAGAATATCATCCCTGAAGGGCTAGAGGATGCCCCCAGTGAACATGTCAGAGAGAACACCATCCCTTCCCCCAATAAACAGGCCAAAGAGAGAGAGAAAGAAGAAAGTCAAATCTATACTCTGAATCCCTAGAAAAGTTTTCCCCCAGTAACAAGTAAATCAAGATATTTTCACTAACAAGAAAAAAAATTGATTTGCACTTTTAAGAATAAAGGCACTAAATTTCAGAGTACCCTTTGCCATTTTTTTTTCTCTCCTCGTCTCTTCATCTTCCTTTCATGTGGCTCTTGAACTCTGTCACTCCATGGCAGCCTTCTTGCCTTTATGTTCCTCATATTAGCTAAGGTAGTTCCTACTCTGTGAGGACGGCCTTGTTTGCTGTTCCCTTTACTAAACTGCCATTCCCCCGATCTCTTCAGGGAACCTTCTTTTCTTACTCAGATCTTGTCTCTGGTGTCACTTTCTCAGAGAAGTTTTCTCTGTCTATATAGCTAATGTTTTCTTTATCATCTTGTCTTTTATTCTTAATGATCACTAGTCTCTTAACTTACTTATCTGTGTATGCTTTGGTAAGTCTCTTACCTTGCTTATCTGTGTATTCCCTATAACTAAATATACATTCTGAAAGAGCAGGTCACATGGCTGTCTTAGTCATTGCTGAATCTCCCAAGCTTAGCATGTGGTTGGCATTTTTATTAGATGGATAGATATAGACGTATGTATGAATAGATGGATAGATTAATGGATAAGCAGAAATGGATACATGGATTAATAAATGAATGGATGAATGAATAGAGATACAAATGGATGGATGGATGGAATCAGTGGTTTGATTTAATAATTATCCAATTTGATCAAATCTTTTTCTCCATGGCCGACACAAAAGACACCAAACTGGAAATTATGATTATAATAAAAGTCATGGTATTTAATCAGTTGAAGCTGTGAGAAGGAAATGATAAGTTGGTTCTAGCTTTAAATGAGTACCTATTTTCCTTCAAAATAGGTCTCTTATTTTGATGTGCTTTCATGCTTAATATATAATCCATAACTTACAGGAAAATTCCTAACTAGCAAACTGGGATATGTTTCCTGATTTAGTCTTTTAAAGATAAAGAAACTAAACCATGTACTAGAGAAATGGATTGGCAATACTCTGCTGCCTTAATTCCAGCCACTGGAAATGTCCTTGTTCCCTAATTTAATGGACTGTTAAGAATTGCACTTTTCAACTATCCGTAACTCCAATTCCAGGGAATCTGATGCCCTCTTCTGACCTCAGAGGGAATTGCATGACACAGAAGCACTTAAATACACACAGGCGATACACTCATACACATAAAATAAAAATAAGAACTGCACTTTTAACCATGTGCTTTCTAATTATGTGTTCATTACTTATTTGTTTTAGAATAACCTCAACCTGGAGAGTGAGTCCATGGCAGAAACAAGCTTTCCTCTGTCTAAAGAAGGCCCAGGAGAGCACCAGGCTGCCCATCAACCCTTCCCCAGACAGCAATTCCCTCAAGAGACTGGACACCCTTCACTGCAAAGAGATGGCCCCAGATCCTTTCTCCTCGACCTACCAAACTTTCCAGATCTTTCCAAAGCTGATATCAATGGACAGAATCCAAATATTCAGGTAATTTTCAGTAGCTGGCAAGTGGAAGAATACAAATCAGTTATCTTTTGTTTTCTGACCTGATTCTACCAAGCCCTGCAGCCTTACCTCCCTGTCTTTCTCAACCCTTTCATGATTCCTGCTGAAGATGGTATTATCCTCATAAGAACAGTGTTCTGAGACCCTTAATGATGAGGGGTTACCACTGTTACATAAACTTCTCAAAACCGGAAGTCCCTATAAACACAGGTGTGACACAATGAGGATATAAAATACCTCCTGATTTCACAGACCTTGAAATATAAAAACAAAACAAAATAATACACCTTGAAATTACTGAGGGATGGTGCCTATAGGAAAGGGCCAACCTGGCTTGTGACCAGACCAGAGAAACCACAGCGTGTCTTCAAAGCACATAGGAAGGTACTTCACCTCAGTGCCTCTCTAGCTTGCCTTCAACACCAGAAATTCCTTCAGAAGAGGACTACTCTCAGGTATTCAAAAGTGTAAATGACTAACAAAAAAATTAGATAAGAAGGAAGGTGAGTAGGGTGTGGTGGCACACACCTTTAATCCCAGCACTCGGGAGGCAGAGGAGAGGGAGCTCTGTAAGATCAAGGCCCTATCAAGGTCTACATAGCAAGTTCCAAGGCCAGCTGGGGCTATAGGGACCAAAAAAAAAAAAAAAAAAAAAAAGGACAGGGACTTCCTAAAAGAGATTAATACATTTCATTAAAATGAGATTGCATGAAGCAAGGGAAATAGAACATCAGGAAAAGTGTTCCAATAATAATACCCATCTATATAATAATACTCATTGTATTAGTCATTTTTCTGTTGCTGTGATAGAAACACTGACCCAAGCAACTTATAGAAAGAAGAGTTTATTTGAGCTTATGGTTCCAGGGGAATTACAGTCCATCATGGCAGGGAGACATGGTGGCTGGAGGTGGTTGGACCAGAAACAGCAGAAGCTAAGCTCTCACATCATCATGCAGGCACAGGAAGCAAGAGAGAGACGAGAAATCTGGCAAGGCTTAAGAACTCTCTAAACCCACCCCCAGTGACTTGCTTCCTCCAGAATAGCCATACCTTCTAAAACTTCCCAAAACAGCACCATCATCTGGGGACAAAACGTCCAAACACTTGGAGCCTATGGGGGACATATTCACTCAAACCTCCACACTCATCTACACTGAACTAGCCTAATATAATTTACAAGGAAAATGTTGTCTTGATCTGACCCCCTGAGCATCCTCACGTGTAAAAGAAACAAAGCCCATGTCATTGTCTAGAACTTTAAGGTGACAGGAATTCGGGAAGTTACTATCTGGTTCACTTAAGGTCACATGGCTAGTAAGCTGTAGTTGTGGATCTCAAATCTAGGATCTTGGGTTCTCAGGAATGCCAAGCCACCAATCCATACTTCAGAGACAACCTAATTATGAATGTTGTTTGTACTGTCTTCCCTCTGTCTGGAAGACGGTTCTCTTGATAGCTCCAGGAGTCCCCTGGACAGCCAGACCCTTACCTTAATGCCTGTCTTTGCAGGTCTGCTTCCATATTTCTGTGCTTTGCTTTTATTCTTCTCATTTGTGTAGTGACAACTTTTCCTTAGTCTTTACCATTACTTAAAATGCTTATCAGCTTGTGTTGTGGAAAGTTCAGATGGGCCTCAGAGCAACTAATCCTTAATTTCTCCTTCCTCCTCCTCCTGCTCCACCTCCTCCTCTGCATCTTCCTCCTCTGCCCTTCCTGCTCTCTCCTGACACTTTCCTCATGATATCATTTCAGAATAGGTTCCCTTCCACAGAGTTATTTTGTTCTTTAGCCATGATATTACTGAGAACACAACTTAATTAATGAGTATCAACCAACTGTGCCTGTATATAAAACACTACATTAGATTATGGGAAGTTAAGAAACACAAAGCTCCATCGTGCCAATCCCTCCAGGAGATGCTGTAGTATGAATATCCCAGCTACCTGTTCCCAAGTAGAAGACAGAAAGAAATAGGGCCGGGCTCTGCGAGTGCTCTGGAAGTCAGTGCTGTGGAGGTCACTGTTGACAACTCATGTGCAGGAATCACCACATGCTTCGAGTAATGTTTCTGATGAATGCTGTATTCTAACTGGCTTATTGGAAGAGCAGGCCTTTTGTTCCAGTGCCATCCCTGGAGTGACCACATGGCTCTGAAAGACCAGTGGATCTACCTAGGGTAGGTACAGTCTGGCAGAAGTAGGCACAGGTGCCCCACACCACTGCTCAGCATTGCTCCCTGCCGTAGCTTCTTCTATGGAAAGTAATTTTTCATTGTTCATAGATATTATGGTTCCAGGACTGGCTAGCCCTCACCTCAGGCCATGCCAAAAAGCAATCTTAAGCTTCCTATGGCTAGCATTTAATCCCAGAGACAGGAAACTGGAGAGACTTAATGCTGAGGACTGAACTAGTAAAATCAGCTAATATAAAGCTACAGGAGAACCCTCAGACACAGGAGAAAAGAGCTCCGTGGGCTTCTTCACTCTTCCCATTGAACTGTTGCTGTGTACCTGGTGGACCCAGTAACAAGCTGAATTCGGGGGCAAAACTTCTTATGCCTTTTTTCTTTCTCCATCAGCCTAGATATGTTCAGTCCCTACATAGACACGTCTGGGACCCTCTTAAAGTACTACCAAAAGGACAGTGGCACAAAGGCTGTTGGTGTCCACAGAGTTGAGAAGCACAGGTTACTTTTCCAAAAAAGAATAAAAGAGAATGGGCTACCGGGAAATGCTGAGCCCTTTCCCACCCACATGGTGGCTCTGTGCATGTGTCAGTCAGACAGCCAAAAAGTCAATTCAGTTTTCCTCATCATAAGGCATTCTATTTAACTGAATGGGAAGTAAGAGACCCTTTGGCACAGTGTGCCCAGGAGAGGAGGACAACTTCTGGAGTTGCCCCAAGTAGAAATAACTAGCCTGAGGCTGGGATGAGGTTGTGAGAAGGCTTAGGCCATGGATGCTCACAGTAGGATGTTCTCTCTGGAGAAGTCCCACGTACTTTCACGGAAGGCAGCTTCCTTCTGAACTGTCAGAAGCATGGCTATGAATGGAAATCGTTTGCCTCCATGCCCAGTGAGTCTCTCAGCTACCTGCTAATGTGGATTCATCAGATGAAAGTCCCACTTGATGGATGCTTTGCTTTCACTTGACCCTACCCTGCCCCAGCATAAGAGAAATTTATCTCTGAACAGGCAACCTTGGAGGATATGGTAGGAACAGAGACAGAGCTACTCCTAGGAAGTCTTCATATATTTCTAGAGTCACCTTTTAGATACCAGAGACCACCATATCTGCCAAGACTACAGATTTCCCAGTGCTCCAAATATCAGAATAATAATTGGTAGAATAGATTTGAAAGTAATGCAACTCCAACATAGAGACTGTTGAAGTCAAACACCAGAACAAGATGAGCACTTCATGCCCACTGCTCAGTCTGGATATTCCATTCTTCTGTAGACAATCCATGCGTCAGTTGGTCTTCCATAGGGAGTACAGAGGAGTGGGGCAGCCAGTGTTTTATTGACCCAAGTATTCTTGGCCCTAAAGGCAGTTGAGCTGCATTTCTGGCCTTTTGTTTCTAAAAGATCACAAAAAGTTAGTGTGAGTCCCTCAGAAAGACATTCAAACAATGAATGAAACAGCTGCTGCCTTTCTGTACTACAGCCCAGTGTCTGCATGTGCATGCGTGCTTGTGTGTGCACACACTCATATGCACAGCACTAGCCTCACAGCCCCATGCACCACTACACTTGAGTAAACTAGTTCCCCTGTGGTCCTTTAGAAAATAAGGTGCTTTCTGAAAGAGGGTGATAATTTCTGGGTTGGCAGACCACACCCGTGCCCTACAGCACTGTTCTTTTGTTGAAAACCATTGGTTTGACCCAGGGTCCATTTAGCCAAGCACAGAGCTCTTCTGCTCACCAGGGGCCCCCCCTCAACATTTCTTTACAGGTTAGTGGGCTAAAGATAGGTGATGAGTGTGTTAGTGGTGGGATTCTGTCATCAGAGCCTCCGTGCTCCCTTCCTCCTTGAAACCTGCCGCTTATCCCCACCTAGTTGTCTCCAACTGGATCCCAGGTACCAAGCAGGAATCAATACCCTGCTCTCTGGCCCCACTGCAACTCCAGAGTTCCAGGGATGGATCCTCTGTCCCTCCCTTGAACTTGCTTGCACCTTTCCAAAGTGACATTCCTGAGCCCCTGCAAGAAGGCCATGTCCCTCAGGCCTCTTTACTTTTAAGGTGAAAAATACTTATAAAAGCCCCAAACTGCTTTTGTGGAGCGTTTCTATGCTGTAAGTCAGGTAGCTTCTGTTCCATGTGAATTAGACCCCATTTTAAGTTTCAGGCTGTGGAAGTGAGGGGAGAAAGGAGTCTATCTCTACATACCTGTCTAAATATAGCATATAAATAGAAAGAAATGGCCTCAAATTCCTAAACTGGATCTCCATGTTAAAATTAAAACAATACAAGAAATTAAGTTCTATTTAAAAGAAAATCATTCAGGAAAGAAAGCAGTCCCTCAAGACAAGTCAGATTTGAGCTTTGGTACCCTTGGCTGAGTTTTTGGTCTTTGGCTGATGGTCAGATAGATCGCAGAGACAAAAAAAATCTCTAAAATAAACTCATTGTTAGATTCATTGTATCAATTCATCACTACAGTAAGCTAGTCACAACCAAATATTTCTCTTTTCAAAATCAAGCTGAGGTTCGTATCCCTTACAACCAATATATTCTTTCTTTTCTTCCATTGAGAGGAATTTAGACACAGTCATCTAAAGACCTTTCTTTCTCTAAACAGACTTATTTACATGGCCCCAGGCCTCTTTAGTGCTATAAGATAGAATCCAAGGGATTGGCCAGGGCTGAAAGTGTCATACATGCTTCTACTTCTGATTTTCCCTCCTCTTGTGTCTAAAATACTTTTGAAATGGCCAGTCTGGCTAAGTTAGAATCAAGATATGTCTGTGTACTGGATATGGACCAGCACACCATTTGGGTACAATCCTGGACAGCTGAGGTGCTCATGGGCTTCTGTTGTCTTTATGAACTATGGAGTCAGATTGGGCTAAATTGTAACCTGGCATTACCATTCAGTCAGCTAGTCTTGGGTTCTGAAGCCCGAGGCAGGTTTTTCAATCTCTCTGTATCTCAGTTTTCTTTTCTATAAAATACCACCTATAAGTACCTATGTCACCTAAAGTACACTTAAATGTGACTATCTCTGAGGATTAAATGAGATCATATGAAGGGCTTAGCACAGGGTTATGTATATGGCAAGCTTCCCAGAACCAATAAATATTGAATGGTGGCGATGCTGGAGAAGAAGAAAAAAACAGAAAAGCATCTGTAAGAGTAATTGGGCCAGCAAGATAGCTCAGCAAGTACTGGTGCTTTCTGTGGAAGTCTGGCTACCTAAATTCAATAATCAGGACTCACATAATGCTGGAACAAAAGAACTGACTCCACAAAGTTGTCCTCTGGCCACCACATACATGCCATGGCAGGCATACCCACATACACTGGCTTTTCACAGATACACAATAATAAATAAATTTTTTAAAAAGAGTAATTGGGAATCAGAAACTTAGTTTTGAAACCAACTCTACACGTTCTTTGCTGTTTACCTTGAGAAGCTAAATTCTTCAAGCCAGTTTCTGTGCCTGAAAATTGGGTCCAAATTATGTAGAACAAGCAATAATATTTGGGCAAGCACACTGCTACAAATCTCAAAGCAATAACCACAATGCTGTGGGGATGCCACGGTTGTTTTTAGAGCATCAGATGATCTGAGAAAGGAGGATTAAATATCTTCCTGGTCTATTTTGTGTTCTTTCTGCTGCAGTTGTCAAAGAAGGAAGGGCAGCAAAAGCCGCTGCAGACACATCCCTAAATGCTCTGTGCTCTTGAGGAATTCTTTTTTTCTGTCTGGGAAATTCTAACCTGCTCACAGACTCCCCTCAGCTCACAGACTTAGAGAAGCAACGAGAGGGAAGACAGCCCTGGGCTCCGTGTGGCTCACAGCACTCAAATCTTCTTGGCTTGTTGCAGTTACACTGAGAATTGCCTTAGTCTTGCTATGGAAAGTGTTTTTCAGTGCAAGGGTAGAGAGTCTGCTTCTAATGTAAGTTTTAACTCCTAAGAGACCAGATTATCATTTTGGACAAGATCGTCAGAATTGTCCAAATTCTACTTTGGATGCTCTTTGAGTGCTCAAAGATTTTGGCAGAAGTTAAACCTGCAGTCTTTGAAACATGTCCTTTCTTTTACTAGATACACTGAGGCACTTGGTGATGGATTAGAAAGGAAAAGAATGGAGGCACCTATAGTCTTTGTCAACTTAAAGTTTTGCTGTACCCACTCCACACTCCCAGTGCATTTGCATTGATTATTGTTCGTAAGATCTTTCCAAAAGGTTTCCCCGACTCTAAAATATCCAAATAAAATGAGAGCAACAGGAAATAGAAAACCAGTCCCTGCCATTGGAGAAGGCATTTGTCATGCTCATTATAGCTTTTTAATTGGATACCTATGAAATTTCAGGTTCAAGATTAGATTTCTTCTTTTGATATCGGTATGAAGTTTCCACATTGCTGACTGTAGGAGACGGTGGGTCCTAAGACTTGTTTGTTTTTTGTTTTGTTTTGTAATTCATTTGGGGCAGTGGCTGGAAATTAAAGACAAGAAAGAAACCTCTAAGCTGTTGAGATTTAGTCATTGATATAGTTTTGGAGTAAATTCCTATTTTGCTACCCATTGCCTCTCCAGGCAAGGAATCTATTTTGTTTGGATCCAAGCAGCAATTTTGGAGGAAAAAAAAATCGTATTGACGGTAATAACTTGAAACATGAAATTGTTTTTGTTCCCAGCTTGGAGAAATTGCAGAGTACATTTCATTTCAGCAATCCTTTGACTCCAGTCTGAATACAAATGGAATACCCAAACTGTTGGGCACGCTCCCTCTTATCTCCTACTCAGAGATTGATTTCATTACCATAATTACCGGCTTGCCTGGCTCTTGGCAGCCTCTCTCCTCCAAGACCTTTAATAGCCTTGCAGACAATTGTTGCAGTTCAGTAGTTCTATCTGCAGGGAGAGGGGGATGGAACTGCAAAGGAGAAAGATTATGTCTTGAAAGGTTCTGCCTGGCCCATCCTGGCCCTGGTAGTGCTATACCACCCAGCTGTTCCTTATCCACTTGTTCTTCAAGGTTCTCCATAATCATACTGCCCATTCCATCAAACAACAGCGATAAAAGGCATAGGTTGTGGGGCTGGAGAGGGCTCAGCTGTTAAGAGCACTGTTCTTGCAAAGGACCCAGGTTTGATTCCCAGCATCCACATGGTGGCCAACAGCTGTCTGTAACTGCAAATCCAGGGGATCCAACGCCCTCTTCTGACCTCCGAGGGCATTGTACAACGTGGGTGCACTTAACATACATGCAGGCAATACAGTCATACATGTAAAATAAATTTTAAGAATAATTAGAAAAAAAGCATGGGTTGTATTTTTTTCTTTTAATTTTTTTTATTTTAGCTGAATTAATTAAAAGCTTCATAATTATAAGTATACAAGGGATGCTTACAAGACTAGGGTAATGGTGGTGGAATGGGATAAAGCTCAAGGTGCTCTTCTAGGCATCCCACAACAGAGGAGAAAGAGGCACTTGGCCTGATACAGTCTCAATGTACTATGGGATTTAAGGTCATCCTCTGGACCATGTCTAGAACCTCAAGAAACTATAGCCTCAGGAGCACCACTGGTTTGGCAGCTTCCCTAAGTGTCAAACTGGGTAAGATTCAAGATAAAAAATCCCCCCACCCTAGCTGTTCATCTAGAGAATGGGCACACCCCAGTGCAGCTTGGCAGAGCACCTCAACAACTCTTCGGATGTCAGGTTAGGGCAAATCTGGGACTGCATCTGCCCAGTACATCTTGCACTGATTACTTGGAGTGCAAGTTCCTGATTCATTTGCATGTAACGCATCCAGGAGGTGTTGTAAGAGCTATCTGATGGCCAATGAGTCTTTTATTATTTTTTAAACAAGATTTTCTACGTTGATTGTCTCTCAGAGCCCAGAAGCTGCATTCTTCCAGCCCTGTGACAGATTTCAAAAGTAGGCTTCATTAATCCAAAGAACAAGTTCTAACCTTAACTCAGGGACTATCTGCTCTGACCCTGCTGCTGGGTCTGAGCAGTGGGAAAGACTGAAAGAGCATATCTGGAAAAATCTGGTCTTGAGGACATCTCTTCACATCCTATAGCATGTAGCCTATCCCCAACACCGGTGCCTCTTTGCTCCCTCAGTCTCTTGAGGAGGCCATATTTCTATCAATTACTTTTGAGAGGCAGAGTGATATAGACATGGGCTCTGGACCCAGATTCTCCACATCTGCTATTTACTAGCCCTGTGACCTTAGGCAACTTAACATCTGTGTGTGCCAGTTTTCTTTATCTATAAAAAGCTGTTTCTATGTAACAATCACCCCAAAACTTAACAGTTTGCAGCAGTGACCATTGAATTACTCATGGTGCAGGAATTTGATTAGGATTCAACCAAGAGAGCTTATTTAAGTTCCATGTGTCTCACTGGAGGGAGATACACAATGGCACCAATCATGAGTCCTGAGACTCGGTTTCCCCACACGTAGTCTCTCTCTGGTCTGTATGCTGTGATTAAGGCTTGGCTTCCTTCAATACCTATAGGACATTCCAAGAAAAAGAAACTAGAAGCTTCAAGATACTTATTTGGGCATGTATGCATATATGTGGGATATGTGTGCATGTGTGTATCTGTTTTCATTCATGTGTGGGTATACTTGTATTTGCAGGTGCATGTGTATGTGCATATGTGTGTAGAGCAGAATTGATGCTAGGTGTCTACCTCAGTCACTCTCCACCTTATGTATTGAAGCTAAGTCTTTCACTTGAACCCAGAGTTTGCCAACTGGACTAATCTAGCTACCCAGCTTGCTCTGGAGAAGCCCCTGTCAGTGCCTCCTGAATGCTGTAATTACAGGCAGGCTATTATGCCCACTCAACATTTGTATGAATGCTGGGAATTTGAACCCCAGACCTCCCATAAACACAGCAAGCACTTAACCCACTGAACCATTTCCCATCCCCTCATTGAGTCACCTCCCCCAGCACAAGACCCTTTAAGATCTGTCAGAGTGTCACTTGTTTCTATTCAGCTGGACCAAGTGAGTTATGAGAGCAGCCCAGATTGACAGTGAGGGAAACAGACTCCATCTGTTGATGGGAAGTTTGTGTGTGTCTGTGTGTCTGTGTGAGAGAGACATGTCCAAGGATCAGGATTGTGAGGCTTAGATAAACTCACCTGGACAGAGCATTTATAACAGTATGTGACACTGTACCTACCCAGTAAGTTAAGCTTTGTTGTGGCTATTCTTGCACTGCCTCAAAAACAGTGTACTCACTCCTTCAACGAAAGGCTTCTCAACAATTTAATCATCAGTAAATCAAGAACCCAGTCATGCTTTGTTTCCTGCCTACCTTGGGCCATGTTCCATCTAGTGGTGGAACCCATATGGGCCATTCCTGAATGGTTTGCATTTTCTATCACCACGTCATCACAACTTTCTTTCACAAATGATGTAGCCATCCTTTCCTTCAGCTCTCTTGGACCTTCTTCCAAGGGTTATCAGAGCTGGGAGGCTGCCAGCTCCTCATTGACGCTGGTGTGTTCTGAATTCCTCAGGTCACCATAGAGGTGGTAGACGGTCCTGACTCCGAAGCAGATAAAGATCAGCATGCAGAAAGTAAGCCCAGCTGGTCAGTGTCATCTCCCAACTGGCAGGCCTGGTGGCAGAGGTCCTTGGCCTTGGCAAGAGCAAACAGCGGGGACCAGGACTACAAGTACGACAGTACCTCAGATGACAGCAACTTCCTCAACCCCCCCAGGGGCTGGGACCATCCAGCCCCAGGCCACCGGACTTTTGAAACCAAAGAGCAGCCAGAATATGGTGAGTTTACCACCCAGTAATATAAAATTGGTGGGGAGAGTAATTGAGGATGATGAGGCCTAACAGACATGGAGCCAAGGAAAACCCAGTTTACAGTATGTGGCTTCTGGTCCTCTATGAGGCATGCCTCACAAAGGCCGTATTCCACAGAAGCCCCGTGGAGGCACCAGTAGCCACATTTTTCTGAAAACACTATAATTTTAAAATTATACCTAGGAGAATTTTTTTAGGATCTTTGGGGTTCCCCCTGTCTATTCTTCTCCCAAACTTAATTTTATTTCTAAAGATGAGAAAACATCAAATTAGCTTCCTTGTATTTTTTAACTGTAAGAATCTATATTGAAAACCAATTTAATAATAGAGATATGTGCAGCTGCCTCCTTTCACCAGGCAACTATGCCATGTCTGATTTTAGCAGTGAAATGGCCCTTGGGAATCCACATGAACTACTTGTGTCATGGGATGTCAAAGCAAGCCTCCCCCTCCAAATAAATATTATGACCCCAAGTTAAAACTACCAGCTTCCTGGTTTTAGAGCAGAAGAGGTGAGATAACATAAAACTCCCAAATCTAGTGAGTTAAAATTATAAAATTTCTCATCTTACTTCAGCTGAGATGGGAGACAAGGGAAGGGATCTCAGACCCACTCAGTCACTCAGGGATTCAGCCTCTTCTTTCCTTCTTAGAGTCTTAACAACTCTGAGGTCCTAAGAGTTATCCCTTGGATCCCCTGCACCCAGCTGGTACCCAAGAAATAGAAGGAAACCTGGTGAGGGCACCCATGCTCTTAATCCTCTCAGCCTGGAGATGACACACAAGCTACATAAGTTCTATAGGCAAGACCTAGTCATATGGCCTCACATAGATGCACAGAGGCTGAAAAATAGAGTCTGTGTGTCCAAGCAACAGGGCTGACAAGCATCTAGCCAGCCTTATTGGAGAATAAGAATATCTGCTGTGTTACAAATGCCCTCATTCTGTGGCAGAATGTAATCAACAGACTAAGAAGTGAACAGTAAGGGATGAGGATGGCATGAACCACTTTCATGTTCTCCGGTGTTCCCACTTTTCAACACAGGAAAAAAAGTTTTATCAGGAAGGCATTTTTAGCCATAATTTATGGTTCTAGGGTACTTCTGAAATAGCAAAACAATTTTTTTCCAGCCACTCCATTCAGTTGTTCGGCCAACGTCTATTAAGAGCATATCTTGTGACTGACGCTATGTTAGTGATAGGAATCCAAAAGTAAGCAGGATACAGACCTTCCTGAAAGAGGATACCACCAGTCTGTGGGCAAAGAGTACATTAGCTAACAGGCAAAGTATACCATGACAGGAGTATATCAAATGCCAGAGGAATAGAGAGAGAGAGTTCCACTTTCTTCATCCAAGAGACTCATGAAACCTTCACTTTTCCCAGAGTAAGTCCAGTTTATTTCCAAAAGGAAGAATTAGGGATAATAGCCAGCAGTTATAAGTACTTACCAGGCTCTAGTCCCTCTCCATGTACCGCACACAGTTCAACCCAGATTCCGAGTCCAGAATCTGTCTTTAACTCATTATACTTTTGTACCTCTCTGGGAGAAATGGCATGTTCCCCTTAGGAGAGTAGATTTAGATAGAAGATCGGAAGGGGAGGAACCATTAGTGCTGTTTAATAGGAGAACCATGAAGAATGGCCACCAATCTCAAGATGTTGCCTGAGGTTGTACAGGATTTGTGGCTCGATCCATTTGCCAGGCAACAGAGAATGTTTCTAAGAGCAGGGCTCAAGGTGACATCAGAAATACCCAGTCATGTGTTTCTTGGTTATTTGTTTGTTTTTAAAAAGCCCATCCTAGACCAGACTCTTCTCTCCTCCCAAGGTACCAACATTACAACCAGTGCTCAGAAATATGATCAGAATGCAAGTTTTCAGGCCCTACTCTAGACCTGAATCAGACATTCAGGGGTGGATCCCAGAAGTGTTTTAGATCCTGCGGGCACTCTGATATACAGAGCTCCACTGTCTGAGATCACTGCTCTTCAGTCTTTGCTCACTGTACCTCTTGTGGAGTTTTAAAAAATGGATTTGATCAAAATACCTTATATGCATGTATGAAATTCTCAATAAAGTTTTTGTAAAAGTTAAAAGAAAAAGATAAACAGAAAATAACTGTACTAATGGAGAATCATTCAACTAAGAGTCAAGTGAATATTATTTGTTTATTTACAGTTTATATGTAACCTTAAAAGTTACATTCTGTTAGCATGTTTTGTATTAATAAGTGAACAAATTTATTTTAAGTCTTTTAAAGTTCCGTGAGTGATCCAAATGTACATCCATATTGAAAGCCACTGCTCTCCACCTACCGAATCAGATCTAGGCACAAAACCTGGGGACTGTGTGTGCTGCTTTGTTTTTTTATTATCCATCTTTATTTATTGTTTGAGAATTTCAAAGATGCATACAATGTGTTTTGAGCAAACCCACCCACCATTCTCTTCCCTCCAATTCATCCTCTATCCCTGTCCCCACTTTTACTTCCCAATATCATGCGCTTTTTAAAAATTTAAACCCACTGACTACACTTCATGCTAACTGTATGTACAAGGCTGTGGGACCATCTGTTGAGGCAAAATGTGTAAAGGTAGGCTGAGATGATGGAAGCATGGCAGGTGAGGGCACCATAAATCAACTGTGGAAAAGGCATTTGATGTGCTGGGTTTTAAATCCCTTCTGTGTAAATTCTGTTGTCCACAACAAGGAGGGAATCCAAATAAGCACTTCTCTGTCTACAGTAGTTTGACATTTGCTAAACTGACCATAGGGAGGTAGGTGGTCACTATTGTTGATAACTTAGGATTCAATTCTTCAAAATTCTCTGACTGGCCATGGTTCAATTTTAATAGACTTCATGGTGACTTTTTTCATGGTGCTTTGTCATTGTTAATTATGACTGTCTCCATGAGTGCAGTCAAAAAAAAGGGGGAGGCTAACTTGGGCCAGAATTGATGTTGGAAAGCCAGAATAGGCAGTAGAATGGTAGGAATAGACAGACCTCAGATCTAATCCCAGATCTCCTGGGCTTGAGCTGTGTGACCATAGGCAAGTATCTTAACTTTTCTAACTTTGGTTCCCCTACCCACAAAGGAGGATATTTCCACCTACCTCAGCATTATTGTAGGAATTAAATGTAGCCATCATTACCCAGGACAGGTTTCTCACTGGCCAGTTACACTCCAATTCCAGTCATTTCAGTGGCCCTATACTAGAATTGACCCAAAGAGTTCTACTGCCCTGAAGCTGTAAAAGGAAGATTTTACCCTCTCAAATAGCACCTTTGAAATCGGCTCTTGGCTCATTCCAGTGTGGAGCACTGTCCTCCTTCTTTGAACTCTTTCGTGTCACAGGGGCTGTCAAAATGCCACAGAAATGTTCCCAGGAACTGTTTGTTCTTGTCATCATTGTTGTCTTTGCAATTATTGCTGCTGACACTCATTTTTTGCTCTGAACCACACTCCGTCCTGGCTGAGCCAACTTTCAGTGTCCTCACATGTGTTTCCACCTGCACAAACTAGATCTACCTTCTGTGACATATTTTACAACTCCTCCTCCATCCTCCATTAAAGGAGAGAGGACTTCTCCCCAGAAATATGTGTTCAGTCAGAAATCTCTGCTCTGCCTTTTTGTCCCGACTCGCAGGACAGTCAACGTGGGTTTCTGGAGGGAGGAGAGGGGATGGAAAGGGACAAGGGATGCGAAGAATGGAGACAAGACAGGCTTTCTGATCAAGTCTCATTTAATGAACATTCACACAAAGTTTTTATAGGGAGGAGAGGGGGAAGTTGGCAGGGAAAATTCCATTGAAGTAGAGCAATTCAATTAACAGAACGAATATCACAATGACACCACACCGATTGATCGCAGCGTAAATTCCATAGTAACA